ATCATTACCACTACCATATCACTTACAAGTGGGTTGTAAGAAAGTCATACTCTTTCCTATTTGCCCACGTTTCTTGAAATTATTACTTTATTAAACTACATAAAATTTCGTCAGTTGAGACCAGAATAGTTGTCTTTCTATGCTTCCCATTTTTAATAGGGTCTAAAAATATACACATAATTTAAAACATTGTTGATTAATGCAAAACTTTCTTTAGAGTCCCTCATGATATTATCCAAGGCAGAGAACTGAGCAATTATGGTTTCTTCCCTCATAAGATTAAGGATATTATAAAGGTGCTTCCCGTAACCTCCAGCCCACTTAAGTCCTGGGATTTCAGAGATCACTATGAGGATATTTTAGAGACGAAGTAGGAAACAGCTCAGACATACCTTTTTTTTTTTTTTTAAGTGACATTACACGTCAAGTCATTGGCAGAGTTCAAAATATAAAACCCCTCAATAACTTTGATGAACTGCCTCCTTTCCATCAAATCCCTTACACTTTCGCTTTGGCTGGTTTGCATTCAAGTGGCTGTATTTTTTGGATTAATATAGCATCTTTCTCTGGAGTACGCATTTGGTTCGAAACAATTGTAGTCACTCTGTTTTCCTTTTTTTTAGATAAGCAAACTGAGACAGAATTAAACCAAAAGACTAATTTGCTCCTCTCCATTCAAAGTTGTCTGGAAAAGAAAGAAACGCACTTAGCACGCTGCTCTCTCTACTGGGTTCTTCTAAAGTTACATTAAAAATAATAATGAAGTCACAGGGAGGGGGAAAGATGTATTAATTTCATGCTGAGTATGGATTTTAGAAAAATATACTTAAAATTCATATATTTCCTTATGTAAAATTGTTTACACATAATCAGGGTTTTGACATTTTTTAAATATATCTGTAAAATCAATGTTCTTTATGATAACCCAGTAAGCCAGGCTGCAGAAAAATGTTGCAGATGGTGATAAAGATTTTACTTAAATTTGACTTTCAGAGGAAAAGATTTCATATAATCATCATTCTATATTTATAACAAAATTACTGACCACTTAAATCTGTTTTTTCCTTGCTTTTTAGCCTGTGAAAGCACCAAAACAAATATTAACATGTGAGTAAAATAATAAAAACACCTAATGTTTGTTTAGTTTCTGTACCACTTTAACATATACAATCTCACTTAACAAAGTTACTATTGTCTCACCATTAATGGTAAGTCTGGCATCTTTTCTAGTTTTTCCTGATATCTATGGTTCCTCCCCTTGGCAGTTTCTTACACCTGTCTTGCATATCCTTAAAACTACAAGAAACCAAAATTCTCAAACCTGAGAATTTTCCCAAATTATGAATGTCATAGCCTAAATATATTCACAAAGTAAATAACAACTATAGCCAGGGATCCAAATTAAATGAGTGTGAGAAAGAAGATTAGAATAAGTGGCAATTATCCTTCAGGAGCTTTCTTCCAAACAGGTACAAGCCACATGGAGGAGGTGAAAATGAAATGGAGATTGAAGATGTGATTCCGTTTTCATCCGAAAATACGCTCATTCACGAGGGAATATGTAACTCTTTGGACTATTCTTAGACCAGCACAAAGTGTCAGGTAATCAGTAACAATTTAAATTAATAAAAAAGTAAGATCAGAAAGGAAGGGGGCTGAAATGTTATCTAAGTAAAAGGAAAAATGTATCGGAAACTTGAAAGTTAGTCACTTAAATCTCACTTTGGAGATCAGTCTCTATTCAAACTTGAGAAAGAGTTTTAAATGATCACCAGTGGACAAATGAGTTGCCCAAAATATGCAGATGGCCAGGACATAAATTAGCAGGGCATTGATTTTGATGCAAAAGGTGTATACATTTGCCAAGTTTTTTGGAGAAGTGAGTGATGTCTAACTTTTAAGAATACTGAGTAATAAAACTGAAATAAGCATGCAGCATTAAATTCCTAATTTGAACTTTAAAAAGGATAGTTGATACAATTAAGCTTCATCTTTAGTTTTATTCAGAGTTCCTAAATTGTTTGAAACCTAAAAAGGAACCCAGGATAAGATGACTCCCCGTTTCCTTCATCATGAAATTTTGAGTAACATCTTGCAAAATCTCAGCTTGCCAAGTAACAAATTTATATTAATAACAATTTGCTGGGACATGTGACAATCTTTCTCACATTATTATGTGCCCAGAGAAATTTTATCTAATACATTTCTTCACACATAGATGTGGCTGCATATTATGGAAGAAATGGAAGAAAGTAACCACAGTGTCTCAATGCTAAATGATATGACCTTCACATAAATTCTCTGAACATCCAGTGGGACACTCATGAGGACCGTCCACATGACAGCACCATTCTATAACAGAAAAGTTAAGAATCAGACAGTAAAACTTAGCCTAACTGCCTAAAGACACCAACCTAATTTATAAGGGAAAAATGAAGACAATCAAAATAGCATTTTGATTTGTATAGGTAAAAACAACCAGCCACTTGTCTGAATTTTTTGTTTTCTACTGAACATATAATATTTTAGGCCATTAGCTTTCTAATTTTTTCTTTGAGTTCAATCCACAGTAAGAAATACATTTTACATCACAATCAGCACACAGAAGCATGTATAATTAAAACAGATTTTCAGGAAACAAAACTTATCCTTACTAAATGCCATGCACTCTGATATTTTCTATTATATTCCTTTCTGTTTTATTCCTTTTAAAAAATATTCTAGACTAATTAAACTGATTTCACGACCTTCTGGGTCACAACAAGCAGTTTGAAAACACTGCTTTCAGCCCTAAAACCTTTTGAGAACTACTTAAGAAACTTGAAGTTTCCTAAAAGAGTCCAATCAATCCTTTCCTTTATACCCAGAGTTATTTAAGCAGAAAAACTGAGAGGGCAAAAATACTAAATAACATCTGTCCATATGAAGAACTTGCATAGATGCTTCGCTTCCTTGCTGGATAATAAGAGGCAGAATTCTAACAAAAGAGGAAAGATAATCCAGGAAATAAAACACAGGAAAAATCATTCTAAAACTGAATTTCCAAACAGAGTCCCATTTGTGCAAGTTTTTTTTTTAATTTTTAAGTTCTTTGTATTTTTTTTATTATTCTAAGTATTTGAATATCATTTAATGCAAAAAGTGTAAGATAGGGCAGATGACACTGATACTACTTATCGCTGGGATGATGAACAATTTTGAATAAGATGCGATCCCCTCTGTATTTGACCAGGTTCACTTTGTAATTATTAGCAAGGCAGTAAATAATCTACCAAGGAGCAGTCTCATTAGTGCCCATTGAAATTCAGTGGCATTAATTTGCAATAAAAGAACTGAAAATTAAATAGGAAGGAAAATGGTTTCTGGAGTCCATCATAAGGTTATGGAATTCACATCATACCAATGCCTTCCTTCACATCAAGGAGTTTTTAATGTTGTGTGGAATTAGACTTAATCGCTGTATTTTGTTCTTCCATTAAAAAAAAAAAAAAGTGGGCAGAAGAAATCCTTTTTCTCTGTTTTAACCCTAAATTAAAACAAGTAAAATTAATTTGAAATATGCCAACTTTTAAAAGTTTTGTTCATTGTTTGTCTTTTAAGTAAAGACAGCTTGGACCTACGTGGCTGTGGGATGCTGTAAATTTCTCTACGGCGGCTGAAGATGCACGCTGGATACCCCTAGAATCTGCCCTTCCATATCCTCTGGGGCCAAACTGCACCTTATTCCCTTCCTTCTGCTATAAATGTCCCTGGAAACAGAATACTTAACAGAAACTGGTCCACGGCTTACAAGGCAGAAAGATAATGGAGACACCAGTCCAGATACCAGTGTACAGTTAGGAAATGCCTAATTCAGCACCCAGCCATGTGGCGCCCTGAAGCTCCCAAACCCAGTCCAGAGTACACCTGTCCTGTGGCCACCTAGGCAGGTGTTCACCAGAAGCGCCCACCTAACCCCTCTGCAGGCCCATCAGGAAAAAAAAAAAAAAAAAGGGAGAAACTGGGCAAGCGAAAATGGGAGGAAAGGGAGAGGGAGAAAGAATAAATCTTGTCGGAAAAAAAATAAAAATGAGGACACACAACCTTCGCCATTGAAGTCACCAAGTGGTCTCCTGTGTCTTGGACCGGCGCTCGTTCCACAGTGGCTGCGAGGCGCAGACCCCGGCGGACCCGCACGCCACTCCGGGGCATTCTCCCCGGGTGGGACAGGCTCGTCACTGGGCTGGCGGGAGATTATTTTTAATCACTCGTGCTTCCATATGGCTTGTTTTAAACTCGCGGGACACCTACAAATTTCCGGCTGTCAGAAGTCACATGCCAGCAATCCGCTCCAGCGCGGACTCAGCCAGCTAACTCCGAAATCAGACCCATTCAACTCCCAATCGCTCTCTAAAGCCCCAGGACGTGGGGTGGGGAGGAGGGGAAAGAGGGTGACAGGAATCGCTTCCCAGAAAGTCATCATCATAGCCGACATATTTCCAATCAAATAGGCTAGATGAAAGGAAATTTGGGGAGCACATTAAACAAAAACATTGAAAGGATAAATAAAATTCTGCCGAGCTCCGCTAACTCCAAACACCCCCAACTTTAAATGCCAAGAGCGGGACCTTCTCGAGTGACTCAAAGCGCTTCGTGTTTATTTGCCTGGAGGTGTTTTCCCCCGCAAATAACTGCTGCTTTGTCTGGTTTTCCAACGTGTGTTTAGTTAGGAAGCCCCGGGCTTTCGGGTCTGCCTGTCGCACGGACCCTAAGTGGGTGGAGAGCACGTTTTTCTCAGCTGCCCGGCGAGAGAACTTGACTCTGAACGCAACGCGGGCTGCACGCAGAACCCCCGGGCTGGGCCGCGCGCACCCGGCTCCCTGCGCGCACCCTCGGGTCGCGCGTCCCGCGGCTCCCGCGGCTCCCTCGGCTCCCCCTTCTCCCTCCCTCCCTCCCTTCCTCCCTTCCTCCCTCTCGCCGGGCGCAGCGGCCACCCCGACGGGCGGCGCGGGCGCGGGTACCTGTAGAATGCCGGAGGGCCGGCCTCGCGCACCGTGTAGCCGCTGGGCTCGTTCTCCAGGTAGTAGGGCACCTGCTGGCCGTGGGGCTGCAGGAAAGGCGACAGCTGCGGCGGCGGGTGCAGCAGCATCAGCGGGCTCGGAGACACGCTGTTGAGTGGGGGGAAACCCCCCAGACCGTTGGAGCCGAACGCCGCAGCCTCAGACCCGGGGCCGTACGGGAGGCCCGTCTGGCCGTAGACCTGCGCGTTGGCGGCGGCCGCGGCGTTGAACTCGTAGGCGGCGCCCTCGGGGTAGTTGTACACGGCGGGCTTGCTGCTGTCCACGTACACCTCGCCCAGGGGCCGCTCCAGGGGGATCTTGAGCTGCGGACGGTTCAGGGGCTCCAGCTCGTTCCCTTGGATCTGATGCAGTAGGGCCATCCCGGATGCTTTGGTGTGGAGGGTCATGGTCATGGTCCGTGGCCGTGGGCAGGGCGCAGACCGTGTCCCCGCAGGGCAGAAGGCTCAGAAGCCGGCGGGCCACCTGGAAAAAGAGCACAGCCCGAGGTTAGAGGCGACGCAGCGCATGTCCCGCCGAGACGCGAGCTCTGGCCCCGGCCCTGACCCGGGAGCCTGCGGGTCCGGTGAAGCCTGGCGATCCGACGGGAGCAAGTGCAGTCCCGGGACGAACGCCCTCCGCCAGCTCCCGGGCTCCCGGGCCTCCAACTTTAAGTACTGGTCTCCCGAGCTCATATGCATTACAAAGGTGCTGGAGGAAGGCCAGGGACTGTTGCCTTGCCCTGACATTGGCTTAAACATCACTCCAGGCACAACTCGATTTGGAGCGATCCCAAAGAGCAGCTTCCCTGAACTTTACTTTACTTGTCGTCGCTGCTGGATAGAGGCTGAGTTTCACGGCCAGGGGGCGGGGGCGCACGAGGATCTGCTAAAGGTGGCCCAGGGAAGACTGGGCTTAAAATAAACGCGAAAGACGAATCCAGGGGCCGGCTTTCTCTAATGTGCTGCCTTATGTGCCCCGTGCCAGACTCCAATATATCTCTGTTTATCTCTCTTTCTGTTTGATTCCCCCTCCTCGTTGGCTAGAAATACGTAGTGTGTACATAGGATGACCCTGGGGAGGACTACACTGTAACCGAGATAGGGCAGATAGAATGGGGTGTGTGGTTGCATACGCAGCCAGCCACAGACAGCTATATTTAGCAGCTGGGGGAACTGACAGGGGGCATCTGAGGGGAAGGGGGGCGGAGATTCAGGGTATACATATAGGAAGAGCTGCATTTTGCCATCAGGAGAATGCAACCTGCCAGGACCTCAGTTTCTTCCTCTGCAAAATGCTCCCAAAGTGGACCCCTTCCACAACCTTCTGAGATTCTCTCAGCTGGACTTGTGTGTTTATGTTGGACCATAGTACTGTACTTGGTCCCATTAGGAATTCTCATGTGAAGGATGATTCAGAAAAACCTTTGGTTAGGGCGCACATGGGTGTTCATGCCTTCCACAGGTTAGTTATGCAACCAAAACTTCAGAAAACTGAATATAAAATGTGACCTTTTCATACCCAACATAACCTCAGGTCATGAACCAAAGCTTTGGCAATTATGTGACATTGTCGGTCTGGTTCAGCTAACAGATTTTTAAAATGCATTTCTGCATGTCTATTCTTTAGTCCTACAACTCGATCTTCTCGGTTCACTTGGGCTAGGATATGCAGAATCAAATATCCAGATGAAAAACAAATAGAAAAAAGTTTTTAACTGAATTAAAAGTTAAGCATGCACACACACATATGCACACACACACATACATATACATATTAAGGACACAAAAAATACGGAAAGTATGTCATGCATCTATAATCTTGGAGAGTTTATACTTTTTAATAAAATTCCTTTGCTGCAGCCTAATAGACTCTGGTACAACTATCAATACTTTATTTTAATTGCTATCCCAAACACCCAACAGAGTACCTGACAAAGTGTTCATGGTATATCTAAATGCCAAGCTTACTGTTACTAATAGTTACATTTTTGAATATTTTATATCAAGTATACATTTTATCTAATTCCTACAAAAACAGACCATTGTCGGACAATATACAGATTAGCTGATTTAATATGAAGCCAAAATCGAGTTTAGCATTAATGACTATAGATTGTCAGCAAATAAAGGGTTAAAAACACGTTAGGTACATCACAGATATTTCCCTTTATGGCCAGCAATCATTACTTTCCAAAGCAATTTTTCACAGATGATTTAGTTTCCATAAATCACACTTTCAATTTTCAAATGCCTTTTTAAAACACACGCAAAAAGCACTTCATAGGGCTCTTAAAAAATCTGAACCTGCCAAATTATATGCAAATGGCACAAAGAATCCTACAAGTCATGAAAGAAAAAGGAGACACACACGTACCCCCATGGAGAACAGCAATCCTCATCTCCCTGCTAGGATACAGACACTAGCCAGAAAGGTAAGTTGCCTTCTCAAAATGCTAAAGCTACAGAGAGAGAAATCAAAACAAGCCTACCCTGCTGGATCAAGAACGTCTTTCCAGAAATGTTCCATGGGCTTGTAGAAGTCAAGGGCCGAGACAGTGAGAAGGAAGGAAGGAATGTGCTCGCATGTGCGAGTGGCTCAGTGTGTGAACTAGGCAGAGAGCGTGTGTGGATGTGTTTGTGCGTGGAATGGCAGGGATTCGGGAAGCAGCCAGTAGGCAGGGCACTTGGCAGCCCCTCCCGGCAGACACGCAGCTGGGCTACTGCACGGCGCTGGATGAATGGCAGTGGGGAGTGAGGGGAGACTTGCTGTCTGCTCACAGGGAGCAGCGTGGCATAGCCAGAGAAAGCTGTACTGGGGAGGAGAAACCCCAGCCCCTTTGCCCCTTACCCTTGGAGGCTGGAAAGTACCCTATGCTTTCCGCTGCCACCCCAAGCAAGAGGAAAAACAGGCTTGCTGTGAATCATACTCTTACGGCTAAAATAGAATGCCAGTCAAAAGTGTATGGATATCAAGTTTACAAAATAGGACATGGGTGGTTTTTCCAAAAGAATATAATTTAACAATAAAAGCCTTCTGGGATACATGTGGATCAAATGCCTTACTGGCCCTAGACCCCAGTCTCTGAACAGAGGCATTGCCATGCCTCCGATTGCACCAGGAAACCAGACTTTGGAATAAATGTTTTGGCATTCTAGGGATGTGTTTCCAGCTGAAATGTAATACTCCTCCACTTCGTTAACCAAACCCACAAACCTTTCCACGAATAGCTCAGTTGACTGCTTTCTGTAAACATGTGAAAAATACATATTATTAAAAGCCTAGGATATGAACATAAGATAAAGGTAGATACCTTTGTTTTCAACTGATTTTAGGCTTTCGAGTTGCACTGACAGTGATCGGGAAAGAGGTCTCTCATTTTCCAGTGGCGTTCACATGGATCCACCTCTTGACCACTTTCTCAACGTTTCTCTTGGCCATAGTACTAACATGCAATAATGAGGTGCTCCTAGAGTGCCCACGCTCAGGGCCCCAGGACACATGACACCCAATGGAGCCTCTGTTGCCAGACATTAGTCACCACCTTGGATATTAAATGACTCTAATCACAATGCCAGGAGTGGCCGGTCTCTGGCCCTGGGACACTATGCAGTTACTGAGAGATTTATGAGTGGCTCTTGAGACCAGTACAAAGAAAGAAGTAGAAAGTCATAAAAATGTTAATGATGCCAGATGCAAATATATATCTTGGTGCTTTGAAAGACCCCCAATATTGCAGTGTTGGAGCACAGGAGAGCTCTCTCCATAGTCAGTATTGAAAATAAATATTGGATATAAATAAATATTGAAAAGAAAGATTGTTACCCTTTGTTGGTGACAGTGGTCCCTCCTGTAGGTCAACAATGGCCACCCATGTTCTAGACCAGTCAAAAAAAAAAAAAAAAAAAACAAGAGCATTCAGGGAGGGAGGAGAGAGGAAGAGGGGAAAGGAGAGAAAAAGGAAAGGAGATCTGCAATTGTTCACTATTGACATAGGAAGAATAAGAAGGTTGGCTGTCTCCTCATAGGCTTTGATTGTTCAGAGATTTACAAACAAAGTTAGTCCAAGAAGTTCAATAAAGTCAGTTTTCTTTCCAGCATTCTCTTCCAGACTCATCTTGGTGAGCCTTGTCCCTGAGCAGGTGAGCTTGGGTGGGAAAGTATACTGTGCTACGCCGACTTTTCTCTCGTGCCTTTGGCAAAAATGTCACTCTTAGGTTCCCAGCTCTCTTTGCTTCCCTCCCCAACCTCTCTTGCTGGATACACACACTCTAGCCATGACTTACTGGTTCTCCCAGGTGAAGAAGGATAAAGATTGCTCTGGCTCCGCCATTGAATATATCTTCAGCCCCACTTTTCCAGCAGTCTGCTGGGCATTGCTGGATTGTTCAAATATGAGTCACCATTCTCAAACATGGTGTTCCTCTCAACTTCCCTCTGTCTGTGCCCAGCATTACTGTCTCTCCAGTCATCCAGATTAAAATCTCACTGTCTTCTTCGAGGGCTGATTTTCCCTTGCCTTCCACACCTAATCAAGAGGCAGTTCCTGGGCCTTCTAGCTTTACAATCTCTCTTTTTCCATTTCATTTCTGCCACTCCCTTTGAGACCTATTACCTTACCTGTCCTAAGAGCCTCCTAAGGATCTCTCTGCCCTTTCCTCCCAGACTTCATCCTAAACCCTGCGACCGGTTTACTTTCTTGGACTTTCTTACTGCTTCAGGATCCATCTTGACATGACCCAGCTCTGCCTTGAACCCAAATCATAGCTTCCTCCATGAGTTCAGGGCTTCCTCTCCACCCGTAATGATCCTTCCTAGTCCATCTCCTCCGACTGTAACCTATGCTTCAGCCAAGCAAAATTTTAATACTCAAAGAACTCAGAGCTTTTCTTTCCTTCTACCTTGAATCCCCACTTTCTTGGCTTGTCAGGGGAGAGCATGACTCTTGCAATAGGTCCAGCCCAAATGCTACCACATTCATTATTCCTTCCTTTAGTCTCTATTCAAAGAAAATTTCCTCTCCTCGGAATTCTAGTGGTAGTTATCATGCATTTATCACATTCTTCCTGAATTAGAGTTATTTATCTGGTTTTTATCCCTTCACCCTGCTCATAAGCTCCTTGAGGACAAGGTCTGGTTAGAATTATTCGGGAATTATGAGCACCCAGCCCTGTCCCTGGCCATGTTAGGTCATCAAATGTTGGTTAATTTATTGATATAGATACTTAAAAGGACAACATAATATTATAGGTGTCTGGATTACTATCTCTAAAAGTTAACTTTCCATGTGACATTCTACCATTTTTTTTTTTTTTTTTTTTTTTTGAGAGAGAGTTTCACTTTTGTCACCCAGGCTGGAGTGTACTGGTGCAATCTCGGCTCACTGCAACGTTTGCCTCCCAGGTTCAAGCAATTCTCCTGCCTCTGCCTCCTGAAGTAGCTGGGATTACAGGTGTCTGCCACCATGCTCAGCTAATTTTTTTGTATGTTTAGTTGAGACGGAATTTTACCATGTTGACCAGGCTGGTCTTGAACTCCTGACCTCAGGTGATCCACCTGCCTCAGCCTCCCAAAGTGCTGGGATTATAGGCATGAGCCGTCACGCCCGGCCCATTCCAACATTTTCAAAACTGTTTTTGATGGAAGATTATCTTTGTATCTTTATGCTGACTGAGGTCATAAAGTCAAAATTTAAATTCGTACAATCTCGAGGCTTAAGTCTGCAATTCTTGGCAGCATGATTCACAAGAGAGCTCTGAATTTTTAGTTCGTAAGCAGATAATACTATGACCAAACATAGCTTCTTCTCTAGCTCCTTTAAAAGCTTTTTACATTTACAAAAACATTATTCCTCCAAAAGAAACATGAAAGAAAATAAATGTGGAACTATCTCCATAATAGCTTATACCATAAAAGAAATGGTTCCTTTACTCTGAGACATGAAGGTCTGGCTGTGTTCAAACTTATTATTGTACTGATTATAAATGCTCTGTTTGGAAGCTTATTTTTGAGCATTTATCTGATACCATCAATTTTCCTCTAATGTGGAAAAATAACGAAGAATTTCCCTTTAAGTTTCTGCTCATTTTCACAAATAGTTTGGTCACTTATTTTAAGGGTTTTTGATTAGTTCCTAGACTTTTTTCACCTGACCTTGAGTTTTTGTTTTTTGAGGCAAAATTTATATACAATGAAATACATGTATCTAAAGCATACCATTTGATGAATGTGACAGATGGATATGTCCATGTAACAACTATCCCAATGAAAGTATAGAGTATTTCCATCACCGCAGAAATTTCCCTTTGTGTCCCATTCCAATAAACTCCCAACCCCTATAGGCAACCATTGTCCGAAGTTCTATCACCCTCTGGGCCAGGTGGCAAAATAAATCTATGATCTCTTTGGACCATGATCTCTTACAAATTGAAGTGTATATACTGCATTTCCTACCAATGGCACAGCCAGCAAGGTGCTGGGCATGCAGGTTACTGGGCATCAAAGGACAGAGCTATCCTCTTCTCAGTCAGACTCCTCTTGCTGCAATGGGACCCTCAAGGCCACAGAATTGTCCTAACACTCTAGTCATGAATCTTTTTAAGTACAATGACTTTTAACAGGATCAGGTTTTACCCAAGTCTGCAAGGGTACACGTTAACAAGAAGCCAAGTGGAATCAGTATTCTTTAACATGTTTTGAAACAGCCTTTTCTTTCCCACTATCTCTCCAAGGAAAAAAAGGCATGATTTGTGACCAAGAGTCAAGCCAAAGACCCTGACTCTCACAAAGCCTGTGATCTCAGATCCCATTTCCTGGCTTCCCACCCAGGACTTGATGAAGACAGTTTGAATTTTTTGGTTGTCAGGCAGCAAGACTGTTCTTGATTATGAGTCAATGAATGATTTGGAGTTAACTTGCAAGCTTAATAGAATTTAGTTAACTTTTATCTTACATTTTCTGGGAAAATTTCTTTTTAACAATATTTTAGGATCTTTTTATATAATGTACCTATGTTGCATGTAATAGAAGACAATTTAGAAAGTACTTTCACTGTAAGTGCCATGAGTGATACAAGAATTCCAATTATTTCAATTATTATTACACTGTGTCCCTCTCCTTCCCTTTATCTGTTGTTTACTTGAGGAATTTCATTGCCAGCTTAGAGTATTATTTCTCTATGAAGAGCAATATCTAGATTGTGCCTCAATTCACTTAGATTCCGATAGTCCTATCTAATGTTAAGAAGGGCCTTTACACACACACACACACACACTACATAATCAACCAAGAACCATCCCCAATTTCAGAGCCAGCCTAGCCAAATGATTTAAAAAAAAAAAAAAAAAGAGAGAGAGAGAGAGAGGAGATTTGAGCAGTTTAGCATTTTCAACCTTTTCAGCCTTTTCAGCTCTTTCTTCCAATTTTGTGTCCACAGCACCCTCCCATTCTCCCTAAGCACCCAGGACTTCCATGCTTGCAAGAGCTCCTCCCTTCTCCCAACCTGCTCAATGACAATCACACTGCGGAGGGAGGAATGCATTCATAAGCATGCCAATGAATGACTCATTCATTCAATTCACTCAAAAAAAATATTGATTAGCTGTATTTACCAGGACCATTCCTAAGTGTCGAGAACTGTTTTGGTCAGCCCAGGCTACTATAGCAAAACACCGTAGACTGAGTGACTTAAACAACAGTGATTTATTTTCTCAGTGTGGGGTGGGGGTGGACCCTGGAGGGGGTAGAAGGAGGAGGACAGAAAGAGAGAGAGCGCTTCTTATAAGGCCACAGTCCTATCAGTGTAGGGTCCCACCCTTATAACCTCGTTTAACCGTAATTACCTCCCAAAGACCCTGTCTCCAGATACAGTTACATTGAGGGTTAGGGCTTCAATATGTGAATGTGGGTGGGTCTGGGGGCATAATCTGGTCAACAGCAGGCATCCCAAAATAAACAAAACAAAAACCTCTGCCCCCAGAGAGCTGACTTCTAGGGCTTTAGTGTTTAGTCCTATTACAATGGCCCTTCCTGCTCAGGCTCTTCTGAGAGCCCCTCTTCCTCTTCCTCCTCTCAGGTGTGGGTGCCCCAGAATTCAGCCCCTAGACCCTCTTTCCTCCTCTGCATACCTTCTCCTGGATGATCACAACCACTCCTTGTGTTTTTACTTTCATATATACATTGAAAACTTCAAAATAGAAATCTCCATCCAACCTCTCTTTCTTGACTAGGAAGTCCACATTTCCAGGTACCTATTAGACATTTTACTTACATGTTCATTCATTCAATAAATATTTATTAAGCTCCTACTATGTACTAGCTACCTGAAGCTCAACTTGTCCAAAAGTAACTCAAGAGCCAAAGAACTTGAATTATTATCCTGCTTTATCAAGAGTCCCCACCCTCCCCAACAGGTACTATACTCCTCCCATACTGGATTTCTTTTAAGTTCCTCAGTCCCTCTGGACTGTCTCTGGGTCTAAATGTTCATGTATGCAAGTTACTCTACCTGAAATCTTCCTCCCCTTCCTTTTCATCTGACACACTCCTACTCATGCTTCAAGTCTCCCTTGAGACATCACAGCCACCAGGAAACCTTCCTCGATATCCTGTTGAGTGCTCATGTCTCCCTAAACATTCCCATTGTACTACTTATCATGCTGTTGGATTTCCTATTTGTCTCTCTGCTTCCCGAAGTTGGCCTGTAAATTCCAAAAGGACACACAAGGACTGTGTTTTCCAAAGACACTAGTCCAATGTGAGCACAATCCCTGATGTGTAGTTTTAGTTGGCCCCCAACAAATACTATTTGAACAACAAACTTGTAAACTCCTTCCAGACATCATCTCTGCATTAACTGACTTCCTCAATGATTGACCTCAAAA